ACAGAAACTTAACAAATAAACAAAGAATAACAGAAGTTATGAACCAATTAGGATTAACGGACATCTGTATAACATTCCATCCAAGCATAAAAGAATATACCTTCTTCTCAGTGCCACATAGAACCTTCTCTAAAATTGACCACATACTCAGCAACACAGCAAGCCTCTACAGATACAAACAAATTGGAATAACCACCTGCATCTTGTCAGATCACCATGCTTTAAAGTTAAAATTCAACAATAACACAAATTGTAAAAAACCTTCAAACATATGGAAATTGAATAGTGTGCAAGTGCCCCATTCCTGGGTCAAGGAAGAAATAAAAAAGAAATTAAAGTCTTCCTAGAATTTATTGAGAATGAAGACAAAACATACCCAAACTTATGGGCCATTTTGAAAGCAGTGCTACAAAGAAATTTCCCTAATGCCCACATTATGAAACTGGAGAATAGTCACGCTAGAGATTTAACAGTGCACCTGAAAGCTCTTTAACAAAAGGAAGCAAACTCACCCTGGAGGAGAAGATGCCAGAAAACAATCAAACTGAGGTCTGAAATCAATAAAGCAGAAACTAGGAAAACATTACAAAGACTCAATGAAACAAAGAGTTGGTTCTTCGAGAAAATCAACAAGATAGACAAACCTCTATCCAAACTAACCAAAAGGCAGAGCCAGAGCATGCTAATTAACAAAATCAGAAATGAAAAGGGGGACATAACAACAGGCACTGAGGAAATCCAGAGAATCATCAAGACAGACTTTAAAAACATGTACTATCCAAAATTCAAAAATCTAAAGGAAATGGAACATTTTTCTGGATAGATATCACTTACCAAAATTAAATCAAGAGCAAATAAACAATTTAAACAGACCTATAACCCCTAATGAAACAGAAGCCATCATCAAAAGTCTACCAACCAAAAAAATCTCAGTGCCAGATTGTTTCAGTTCAGAATTCTACCAGAAATTTAAAGAAGAACAAATACCAATACTCCTCAAAGTTTTCCTCACAATACCAGCAGAAGCTACATTGCCAACCTCATTTGATGTGGCTACAATTAACTTGGTACCCAAGCCACACAAAGACACAAGTAAAAAAGAGAATTACAGACTAATATCCCTCATGAACATCAATGCAAAAATATTCAACAAAATATTGGCAAACTGAATCCAAGAACACACTACAAAAGTTATCCACCATGATCAAGTAGACTTCATCCAAGGAATGAAGGGATAGTTCAACACACAAAAATCCATCAATGTAATCCACCATATAATCAAACTGAAAAAGGGAAATCATGTGATCATCTTACTAGATGCTGAAAAATCCTTTGACAAAACCCAACACCCCTTCGTGATAAAGTTCTTAGAGAGATCCAGAATAACAAGAAATACACAAAAATGATAAAAGCAATATACAAGAAACCAACAGCCAACATCAAACCAAATGGAGAGAAACTCAATGTGATTCCTCTAAAATCAGGAACAAAATGGCTACCCACTCTTTCCATATATCTTCATATTGTACTTGAAGTTCTAGCTATAGCAATAAGACAACAAAAGGAGATCAAGTGGATACAAATTGGAAAGGAAGAAGTCAGACTCTCAGTATTTGGAGATGATATGGGAATTTACATAACTGACACAAAAACCTCTACCAGCGAACTCCTACAGCTGATAAACACCTTCATCAAAGTGACAGGATACAAGATTAACTCAAAAAAAATCAGTACTACTATATACTATATACAGATGATACAATTGCTAAGAAAAATCAGACAAACATCACCCTTTTATAATAGCAACAAACAGAATAAAATGTCTTGGTTTAATGCTAACAACCACATGAAATACCTGCATAGTAAGAATTTTGAGTCTTTAAAGAAAGAAATTAAAGAAGATACCAGAAAATGGAAAGATCTCCCATGTGCTGGGATAGGTAGGAGCAGCATAGTAAAAATGGCAATCTTACCAAAAATAGTCTACAGATTCGATGCAATTTCCATCAAAATCCCAGAACAATTCTTCATAGACCTTGAAAGAACAGTACTCAACTTTATATGGAAAAACAAAAAAAAAAAAAACCAGGATAATCAAAACAAGCCTGTACAATAAAGGAACTTGCAGAGACATCACCAGTCCTGACTTCAAGCTTTATTATAGAGCCATAGTCCTGAAAACAGCTTGGTCTTGGCACAAAAGTAGACAGGGATTCACCTGGAAAATCCTGATATTAACCCACACACATACAAACACCTGATTTTTGACAAAGAAGCTTAAGTTTTACAATGGAAAAAAAAGAAAGCATCTTCAACAAATATTGCTGGCACAATTGGATTCAGACATGTAGAAGATTGCAGATAGTTCCATATATATTGCCATGCACAAAACTGAAGTCCAAATGGATCAAGGACCTCAACATAAATTCAGCCACACAGATCCTCCTAGAAGAGAAGGTAGATGGTACCTGTGAACAAATTGGTACAGGAGACTGCTTCTTGAACACAACACCAGTAGCATAGACATTGAGATTGACAATTAATTAATGGGATCTGCTGAAACTGAGAAGCTTCCATAAGGCAAAGGACACAGCAAGACAAAACAGTAGCCCACAGAATGGTAAAAGATATTCACCAACTCCACATCTGACAGAGGTCTGATTACCAAAATATACAATGAACTCAAGAAGCTAGCCACCAAAACACCAAACAATGAAATTAAAAAGTGGCATGAAGAACTAAATAGAGAATTTTCTACAGAGGAATCTAAAATGCTGAAAGACACTTAAGAAAGTGTTCTACATCCTTAGCCATCAGGGAAATGCAACTCAAAACAACTCTCAGATACAATCTTACATAGGCCAGAATGGCTAAAATCAAAAACACCAATGGCATTCTATGCTGGAGAGGATGTGGAGAAAGGGAAACACTTTTCCACTGCTGGTGGGAGTGCAAACTTGTACAGCCACTTGGAAATCAGTATGGTGACTCCTCAAGAAAATGGAAGTCAGTCTACCACAAGATCCAGCAATTCTACTCCTAAGCATATACCCAAAAGAAGCACATTTTACAACAAGGACATGTGTTCAACCATGTTCATAGCAGCATTATTTGTAATAGCCAGAACTTGGAAGCAAACTAGATGCCCCTCGACTGAAGAATGGATAGAGAAAATTCAATTCAGTACTACAACACCTATTCTTGAAATGTACTACTATTGTATGAATGCCAGTAATTCCGACCCAGGTCTTCATGCTTGCATGATGTGTTATCTCCCTATAAATGAGGGAGTTCAGTAAAAAGACAACTGAAATGGCTTCCCCCCTAGGAAGAAGATTTCTATTGTGAAAAAGAGAGAGCAAAAGATACTGAGGCATCTGTTCGAGTCCAGAGCAACTTAATAAGAAAGTGGAGTGGGCATGGCCATGACTGTCTTTGAAAGATGGGGGAGAGTGAGGGAGAATAGTGGAGATACCAAGTGAGGGAATAGTGAAAATAGCAAGAGTAACTAGGGGAAGAGGTAGAAAAAGTTCAGGACCTGTGCTGAGAAGAGATGGGAGGCTTGCATGGGGTCTCTGAAGTATAACATATATTTATGAATGAAACTGAGGGGGTCTGAAGGCCAGCATGGACCTTGGTATGTAACCACAGATACATGACAATGGAGAATCCAAAATCCCTTCTTCCAGAGGCAAGGGAAATGACTCCTTTTGAGATAAACACTGGTTCACAATTTCCTGAGGGATGGTAGCTTTTATCAAACATCTAGTAATCCTTCTATTGTCCAGCTTGAGCTTATTTCTGGATAGATAAACTACCTGAGACCTTTCTGTGACCTGGCTTGTATCAGTCCCGTGCTATAGAAGCCACAGTTCCATCCCTAAGTGGGGGAGCATGGGCTTGGAAATTCCTAGCTACCCAAGGGCGATAAAGACCAGACACAGGCATCTTGTCATTTTTGGAGGGCTTGCAATCCATCTTGCAAACTGCAGTCTCCCAGTTCTACCATCCACCTAAACAGCTTTTGTACCATCCACCCATCACCACAGACACCAAAAGTCTCTCTTTTTACCCTATCGGCACACCTAAAACCAGTTTCTAGCCACATAGACAGAGTTATCAGCCCAGGTACAGGCCTATTCAATGCTTAGGCCTGTAGAAATGCAAACTAGGAGACATTCTCCACCAAGGCTATGCCATTCAGTGACAATTTAGCTAGCATCTGCAAGACAATGGCGACTTAGGCTCCTGAATACTGGAACCAGAGGTCTGGACCCTGAGAAACTTTCTAATAGAATAATTTCTGGAACCCAACAATTCCCTTCTCTCAAATTAATAAAAAGAAACCTGTTCTTCTGCAACAGGACAGATGGCTGTGCCTAGTTTAGGTAGTTCCTTTCAACCTACCAGAGGGACCCATCACCGAATCATGCATTCTGTTGAAGGGACCAGCTCCCCATTTCTGCAGCCATGACAGTAACATGTGCTTGCCATAACCTTGCCTTGGTCACTTAGAGGTCAGATGCCTGCCTTGTGACAAGGAACCAATCAGAAGTTAGCTGGTGGCGCTATGCTTTATGACCCTGGGTGTACTTTATGGATAAGCACACAGCAATGACGCACAGAGCATAGCAACCACCCTGGGAGGGCCTATGGGCCATAACAACCAGTTGGCCAATCAACACAGGGCAAGCCCTCCAAGCCTGGAGGCACACCAATTGTGAGCTTGTGTGTACCCCTAGACACTCCCCTTACGCTGCCTTACAAGAGCTCTCGGGAGCCCCTAGGAGCTGTCTTTGCTAGCCATCTGCCGTGGCGGGTGGGTGAAAGACCCAAGCTAACATGGGGTTAGCTCGTTAAAAAAAAACAATAAAGCCTCATGCAGTTTGCAGCAAGCTCTCGAATCCGCCTGGTGATTGGGGTGACCACGGTCATGGCCTGGAACCCTGGATACCTGAGTTTTCCGGGGGTCTAACACTGTCATGCATGTTCTGTCTTAGAAATCCCTGGAGTCAAGAAAAACCATCCCCACCTCTGGCTACAACCAGCTTCTTTAACAAAGAAAGTTAATTGGGTGATGGAGCATGGTCCAACTCCATATACTCTTGAACCTCAAAGCTCACCAGGAGGAAACATCTGTGTTTTCACAATTGCCAGTGGTCTCCTGTGAAAGAAGAACAGTATGAAAGAGTTAAAAATGTCCTTTTAAAACCAGTGTGGGAATGTCTCCAGTGCCTCTGCTCATGTCAAAACCTAAGTTTGCCTCTTTATACACATTTTGTCCTAAGACTTGTAAGTTACAACATCATATTCCTGTTAGAATGAACTTTAACCTCTTGTATCCATAAACATTTGTGTCGCACACACAGTAAGATTACAAACATTAACAATTTCAGTATGAACATACTTTAGCGTGACTTACAATGCAATCAAAAAGATAATAAAATGTTCTCATGATCTATGGAGTGTGAATAATTATATAATCCTAAACTTTTTCCTTTTTTCCTGTCTAGATCTCAATGTCCTGTGAATCTTTTTATCTCTTGTCTAAAGTCCAATGCTTTGTTTGCTGTAAAATTTCAAAATCAGGTTTGTAATATCAAAGTCTTTGAATGTTAACTGTAAAACCTTTTATTGATATCTCATCCAAGCATTGAGAAGTGGTTTCTGCCCCACACCACAGTTTATACCTGTGTCCAATTGTTTTAAATGTGTCCTTTTTTCCCCCAATGGGAGAAACTGACAAAATAGTTCTGACTCTTTAGTTCTAGCAAGAAGGCAGCTGTTTATCATCCAGTTCTTTGTCAGCTCCATAATGAAAACTCAAAGGTCTGGGAGATCATTGTAGGCAGCCTGGTGAGAAACTGGACCTGTGGATCTGGGTGGCCTCTTTCCTCCTCCAGCTGGAGGTTGGATGACCTTAAGGATCAAGAACACCAGTTCAGCAGGTTTCACTTGAGCTGACTCAGATAGTCTCTCCAGGTCTCAGGTCCAATTTTTCTCTGCTCCATACATCTTGCCAAACTGTCTGGCAGCCATCTAGTTTTATTATTTCCCAGCAAGAAAGCACAAACATTTACTCCACCCCAAATTGGGTCTTTTCCACTGTCTAGTGTATGGTGACCTGAGCAAAAGTCTCTCAGGTTTCATCATCTCAGAATCTGTCTGTAGCAGATTGCTCACTGGCATCTATATATAAACATTTTTTAAATGAAGAGCGTATGACTTAATGCATCATGTGGAGACTAGGGATATTTCTCCCCCTTCTTAATTCTTAGAAGTTGTGTTTTCAAATAGCTATGAGCATGCCCCATAATTCCTTGTCCTGGAGGATCACAAGGAATATCTGTCTTTTGTTCATTTTTCTACTGAGTACAAAATAGTTGAAATGTCTTACTATAATATCTAGATCTATTGTCTGTTTTTATTACATTTGGAACTCCCATGTAAGGAAAACATTTTTTAAACAATGACTTATAACATGTTTGGTGGCTTCTCCAGTTTGTGGAGTGGACATCAAGAACCCTGAATACACGTCAATTACCATGTGTACGTATTTTAACTTGCCAAAGTCTGTAATATGAGTAATATTCATTTGCCATAGATGATTAGGAAGTGGATCTCTAGGGTTCACTCCTCAATTAGCCACAGGTAAACATTGTAGGCATATCTTACTGTTTGGCAATTTTGATGAGCAGTCTCTCTAGTTAAGCCAAATTGTTGCATTAGATGTTTGCTATTCTAATGCTGAAAGTTATAAGACTGTAGAGCTCTAATTATTTAAGGCAAATCAACCAATTTTGTTAATCAGTCTATCAACTTGTTTCATTTGACCAGTAGGGAGGGAAAGGCCTGAATAGGTTCCCACTGTGACCTATGAATCTTGGCAATTTTCTTAGATGAATAACATTTTTCATTTGCCCAAACAACATTTCCATGTGATTATTATTAATTGCTATGTATTTAAATGCCTCAATTACTTAAAGAGCTTTAAAAAACATAGAGACTATCAGTATAAAATTAAATGAATCATTTACTAGAAGCCGAAAACCCATTGCAACAGCTCATAATATGATTATTTGAGCTGAAGCCAGAGTCATCTGTCTTAAGTATTTTTTCTATCAATAACATAAGCTGTTCTCTTATTAGAAGAACCATCATTAAAAAATTACATAGTATTTTTATAGGAGTGCTTTTTATAATTTGGGGGAATATAAAAGGATGTATTAGAGTAAATTGCAACAGCCTATAAGCTGCAAATTGATTATTAATTTTGCCCCAAATTTAGAAAAAACAATTGCTCAAATTCAAATTCAAAAATTCACTATTTTGAATCAAACAATCAACTTGTTGCTTAACATAAGTAACATTTATCATATTTGGTTCTATGCCAAAATACCTCCTAGATTCCACATAGCATTTCTGTACCATGTAGGCTACTGCTTCAAAACAAGGATACAACATTTTTGCTGGGAAGACAGGATAAGCTTTTTATGGTTTGTACTGTTAACATAATATCTGTTGACATTGGATTACATTTTCTAACAGTAGAAGAACTCATTTTTACTCTTAACTTTGGCTCCTGATTTATCTTTCTCATATCATCTTTTCACCTTCACAGGTTGGTCTCTGTCCTGAGGTTCCTCAAACTGTTCCTACATGGGATGCTGTTCCTTAGTCTTTCTAAATGATCCCTAAATGCTCAAATATTTCCATCTTCTCCAAATATTTCAAAGGTGCTTGTACTTCACTAAAGCTGCTCACTTGGAGAAGCCTTCATGTTCTGTCTTTCCACACGTGGAACCATCTACAGAATGCTTAGGGACATACCACCTAATGGTTCTAGAATCTGATAACTTTAAATCATGTGCCACCTCTATCAAGGCCATATTCTCCTTTTATCTAAACAATATAGACAACCTCCATTGAGCCTCATTAACATGATTCTTCACTCCCTGGCACAGTGTTCTAGTAAAGCACACATCAGTCATATTTTCAGGAAAAAACAGGCCTGTCTGGAAGAACAAGAGCACCTTTGCAGGCTTTACACACTAGGAATCTACATCAATCTGCAACCACCTATCCCTTATTCCTTATATCTTCTTTGATTTTCCTGTGGATTCTTGTTCATTAAAGAACTTCAAGAATCTGTAAGCAGCAGGCACCTAACCTTTGTGGGCCTGCAGTGGCTTCCTATTTCACACTCAACAGAACAGTGCCATTTCTCCTCTAATACTTCCTGAGTTCTTCATGTTGATGGGAACTGTTCTTATTCAAACTCTTTTTGATAAACTATTTTCCACTCTACATGGTTTTGAATTTTCAACTTTTCTTTATTGACCCCAGCATCAATCATGTCTCTGTTATTTGCCTTTAATTTTACTGATTAAAAGTATAATGATTTTTAAGCCCCAAACACTTCTATTTCCTTAATAAAAGTCTTAGCTTTTGTCTTTCCCTAATTAGCTAGATTCTCTCCTCCCTTGACTGTAATTCAATTTATGTGCAACTTATCCACCTTAAACTACTTATATACCCCCTTTCTACAAGCTTTCCTCTCTTTATTGTTGACTTTGAGTGGGGACCTCATATATGTCTTCCAGTCCATTTTCTGTTTCCTTCAGCTATCTATACTGTTGGTTAAACTGACTGCTTCTTGCAAAGGTGGTTAGCTTTTATTCCTGTACATAGGTCAAGGCATACCTATAATATTATATGCTAACTATATGCACATCTCTCTCTCTCATTTCAAACTTAACACTGCTCCTCAATGCTATGCTGTGATAGAAGAGGAATCTGTCAATACTGAGTACACAACAGAGCAAACAACTGGTCCAGAGAACTGCATGTACTCAGCCTCAAATCAGGTCCTGTGTAGTGTAACTTATTCTCCATTTTCCCTCTGCCTTCCTTTAAAGTTATTTCTCAATAGGTTCTTTAAGGAACAGGACTCTGCTTGGTACACTTTATGTATTAATACATGCTCCATACTAAACCTCCAGGTCTATGTCCTAATCACTTTTATGTTGCTGTGATTATACAACCTGACTATGGCAACTTATTGATGAGATAGTTTGTTTTGGCTTAATCCTCCAGAAGGATAAGATTACATCATGGCAGGAGGCATAATAGCAAGTATTAACCATGACAGCAGGAACAGGGACCTGGAAGCATACTTCTTCACATAAGCATGAGAATGAATTGGAAGTGGTATAAGGCTTTTCCTCTCAAAGCCCTCTCCTAGACACATACTTCCTCCAGCAAAGCTAAACCCCTTAAACTTTCCTAATAAATGCTCCCAAATAAGGACCATATGTTCAAATATCTGAACCTGTAAGGCATGTAAATTAGACTAGTAAATTCTGCATCTGGATGGCTATAGGTTCATGGTTATATCATAAAGAAAATACATTTATTTCAGCTTCAAAATTTATAATTTTCTTTCAATGTCTCAATAAATGTTCAATAGTTTGAAGTACGAAATCTATTCAGACTTAAAGCAACAACTTAATTGTAAAGCACTATAAACCAAAAAGCAAATTATATACTTCAATACATAATTGTACAGAATAAACATCATTACTGCTCCAAAAGGGAGAAATTGGAACATAGTAAGGAAATACTGGACCAAAGAAGGTGAGAATCTAGCAGAAAAAACTGAAATCCTGCAGTTCTATGCCCAACATGAAATGGTTCAGATGGCTCTGTACTTTGAGTTTTGCTGCTTATAACATCGCTTCACTCTTTAGCTGGTTCTCAAGGAACAGAAATGAAATATATATATATAAGGTTTAAAGCACCCAGAGAGCTGCTGATCTTTGGCCTCTGTTGTATACTGATGGAGTTGTTTTGAATATTGACAAAGAACTGCTGCAGCACTGGGATACTTATACCTATCAGCAAAAAGTAAGAGCAAACAGGCAAACTTCCATAAGAACTGTCCACATAAAGCCAGAAGACATATTCCAGATTTAAAGAGGGTCTTCCTGAATTATGAAACTTGCTCAAGTAAATACTTGCATGAATTTTCATCCCCATGGGTTTTAGTTGGTTCTGGATGTAGTCTTGCTGACAACCCAGACTAGTCATCAGAATGCATTTGTTATATATTCGTGTTTTCATTATGATGTGTCTTCTCTAGATTAAAGGAAAGTTGGGTAATATCTGTAACTTGAAGATCCATGCAGTTTTACTGAAGTTGGTGAATTAGTATGGTTTCCTTGTTTTAAAGATTTTAAACTTGCAGCCTTCTACAAAGCTTAACATGATAATTTGATACTGAGAAATTACTTCACTTCATTTTTATTTGTTTCTCATCCCTAAGGACTGAACTCAGTGTTTTGTGCATAGTAGGTAAGAACTCTACCACTCAGCATGACCCCAATCCTAAACAGTTTTACTAAGTTGGTTAAGCTGACCTTAAATTTACTATGTCACCCAGGAAAGTGATCATCTTGTG